GAAGAGCGGAAAAACTAGATGATGCAAGAGGTAGGGAGGCATGTATGTGTTAATAGATGTGTGTGGACAAATTGTGTTACCTATAATGTGTTAGTAGTCCCTAAACTAGGTACTTTTACATATGTTAACTTAATGCCCACCATAATCCTTTGATGTATTATTAACCTAATTTTTCACAAAGAGAAATGGAAAAACAGAGGAAGTAATTTGCCCAAGGACGTGCAAGAAATAAGTGAAAGGGGAAGATTACCCTTAGTAACCAGAATTATTTCTGCTACATTAAGCTATCTCTTCTAAGAATAGGTAGGATTTCTTGAATCCTGGTAGTGTCAAGAACTATAGACATCAATGTGGAGCTGAAATTAGGAGTGCATAGATATCAAGTTTCAGAACCTGAAGAGGTATGCTAAAGGCGGAGAAAAATTCAGACTAATCCTAGATGACTAGCTTATCTGGATATCAGATTCTGATGAACTGTAGAATTGAAGTGCTCTGCGATCCATCATCCAATTTCTTTATTCAATTTCTGCTCCCTATGGCGCCTCAGGATTTTGTGCTGCATCCCCTCGTTGGCGTCCCATTGCTGTGACTTTGGGAATTTTATGCTTGGTAATGCTGGTGATAGCTGTGGTCCTGTGTACCGTGGGTGAGTATTGGTGGGAGAGATTAACAACAGACATTTAATAAGCATTTATACTGTTCCAGGCGCTCTTTTAAGAGCATAACATACTCTAATTGAATCTGTATATTGACCCTATTCAATTGGCGCTATTAGTTCTCATTTTATTTCTAGGGTCTTAAACTAGTTATTGGTAGGACCATGATTAGAAATTTGGGTGATCTGTCCTAAAAACTCATACTCTTAACTGCATGCTCTCCTTGAATAGCTGGTTTCAAAGCTATGGAATTCCTAGGATAAATTAATAAAAGCAAACCAGCGGAGGTAAAAAGGAAGTACAATTGGTGTTTATCTTCCTAACGAAATAAATTCTCTAAAGAGACTATAAGCTATTTTTTTATGTCTCATGATTTAAGGAAATTGTTTTATACCTGATCTTTAATCTAAACTCCTTTGGATAATATCAGGAAATACCTGAGGCACTTATCAAATACTAACTAGTTATTTTGTGACGGATGAATAAATTTCCATAGATTTTATTGCTCATGCATTCAAAATTGAATAAAGTATTATTGTACCTTCAAAGAGGCTATATGAAAGATTTCTTAATAGGCAAGTGTTTATTGAGTACATTCTATGTTATAGGCACCAGGCAGGTTCTCAAGGAACTCTCATTTTTAAATAATAGAAGAAAGATAGAAGATTTATTACTTTTTCAAATCATTCGTGGTACCAAATGACTGTATTCCATTTGCTTCATTTTTCTCTTTTGTATTAAACCTTCTTCATGGAAGTTATTTCTTTTTTCTGTATATTTCATCTATCATCTATTCTATCTATCTATCTATCATCTAACTTTACCTCTCCATCAGCAATGTATTATCTATCACTAATCAAGTATGTATCCCTTTACATTTCAACAAAAATATGGTTTTGGGGATTTTAATTCTCAAACATAGCAAAATGACTTTTTCTTCTGTAATTACTATTGCTGTTGGTATATGAAGCTATCTGGAGACCCAGTTCAGGGAATGACCTGTTGAAGGATAACAGCTTTCAATCAAGAAATAAAGAGAACCACAGTCAACCATCTTTAGAAGAGAATGTGGCTCCTACCAAGGCTCTCACGACCACAGGCAAGGCAGAATTAAAAGATTAATAAAGTCCTTGATTCAGAAGTGTTAATTATTGGTGCTAAGGTTTGGAGCAAGGGGTGAAGAAAGTACTTTTATGTGCGGTGATTGTGCATCCAAGGAAAGCCCGCAGCACCGTTGTCTCAGTAAAATATGCCCCCTGTCATATATAAAGTGATATCATAAATACCTTATGAACTTAGTTGAATCTCCAACTTAGTTGGATTTTTTTAAAATCAGTAACTAATTTATCACAGGCTATGTATTTAGGCTTATAGGAGATTGTATAATTTGATGTGAAGGAACAAAAAGTGTTCTCATAGCTTAGGGAATTGACATTTTAAAATGATATAGTTAAAATAGGAAATAGGACATCAGAAAAGAAAAATGGATAGAAAAAGGAAAGAAGGGAAAGTGTTGCTAAGAATTAAACATTTACAAAAGAAATAAACCTAATACGTATGTTCCTGAAAACTCTGGTTAAATTTGTTTTTCTTTAATCCTGCAAGTTCATTTATTTAATTACAATTTTATATACATGAAACTTCAATTTCTAATTGCATCAATATTGACTATGACAATTTTTTGACTTCAATTTTCCATCTCTGGAAACGTACCTCCTCACTATTTGTATCACATTACTCTATAATGCGAATGACTGCTCTTATACTTTTCTTATTTGGAAAATTGCATTCTCAAATGGACCTCACACTTGTAAAATAAGTTAACATGAAATTACTGTATATCTCAGTGATTGACTTTGAATTGATTTATTAGTTCTGGTCTGACTTTGAAGGAATGGAAGACAAGTGAAGACGAGAAGGAGGGTTCACCATCTAAAACACTGTTTATAGCCACTCAATTCATTTTTTAATTGTAAATGAATAAGGGGTTTTAAAGTAGCCTCTTCTGTAAGGTTGTATCCATATGGTTTGAATTGAAAATGAACTCTATTAATGGTAATTCATTGATTATTTATTAAGTGTCCTTAGGATGAATGGTACTTGCACTGAAAGAGGGAATTGGTATAGTATGAATCTCATTGTATTTATCTTTTATTTCCAGGAGTTCTTTCTAGCTCTTGTCCCCCTAACTGGATCACACATCAGAATAGCTGTTATCTATTTACCACATCATTAGATTCCTGGGATACAAGTAAAAGACGGTGCTTGCAACTGGGCTCTAACCTCCTGAAGATAGACAGCTTAAAAGAGTTGGTAAGTGTAGATTTCAGTTACAATTATCTGTGGTCTATATTGAACAGAAAAATAGAGGTAAGTTCCAGGTAATGATGATTTTTCCCTAAAAGAAAGTCATTTTACATATTCTCCATGATTATAATAATAGCATACATTAAGTGAGTAAAGTGCATCATATATGCTTCTCTTTTTAATTAATTAATTAAGATATGAACACATTTTACTTTTTTTTTTTTTTTTTTTTTTTTTTTGCGGTACGCGGGCCTCTCACTGCTGGGGCCTCTCCCGCTACGGAGCACAGGCTCCGGACGCGCAGGCTCAGCGGCCATGGCTCACGGGCCCAGCTGCTCCGCGGCATGTGGGATCTTCCCGGACCGGGTAACGACGGACCCGTGTCCCGTAGCATCGGCAGGCGGACTCTCAACCACTGCGCCACCAGGGAAGCCCACATTTCACTTTATAATAAATCCTTTAAGCACAACTCCAAGTTGACTATAATAGTCAGGCCACTACTCATTTTTGTGGGCTTGGATTTCAGGTTGTAAGTGTGCTGGAGCGAAATAGAAAAATCTTCCCCTTGTTATCATAATTATCAAGAAAAACAGCAGCTATGATAATATACATTTATAAATCATTTACTCCTTGCAATATACTAGGAAAGGCAAAGAGGTTTAAAAAGTAGGCTTGTTTTAGTAATGCTCAAATAATTTGTAAGAAAATAGAAACAACTCAGGTATTAAAAGTAAAATACCTCGTACCGGCCACAAATGCCGTAGAAATTCAGAGAGAGATCCCCACTGACATAAAAATTTCACAGAAAATGTGCAACTTATGATGCATCTTGAATGAAGGATAGAACTCAGATGAGCTATGAGAAGGGGTTAATAGTCAGGAAACATTCTATACCAGAAATCTAAACAATCTATAACTTCTATACTTACTTTTACTACTCTCATTTTTTTTGTTTCTATTCTGTCTTACCCAACAGTTATAGTTCACATAAAAATTAATGGAAGTAGATGTATGATTAAAAAAAGAGCATAGGACTGGAAGTCTGTCTGACTTTTAGACCTTCCTGTAATTGCTGCTATGTTGTGCTATATTTGTCAACAATTCACATATGATCTTTAACCCCCAGATTACTTATGCATATCTCATGCAGTGGGACTAAACTACTTTAAAATTGTCATCTAACTCTGAGAAGCATTTCTTGACAAAGGTCATGTAAATTTATATTTTCTATTAAAATTGTGGAGAAGATAGTGGACTGTCATCCATGAACATTGCCTAGGATATTTTGTCACCCTTGGATTTTGTCAGGTAGGTTGAATGCAAGCAGTGCAATGTTGACATTAAGGATGTATTCTTTATTGGAAAATTAAACAATAAGACTCTCAAGAAATGAGATATGACTTTTGAGACACTCAATGGCATTCAAGAATTGGCACTTCTAAGTTGATGCCAGTATATGTGTACATCCTCCACCAAGGTGACTCAATCTCTGTTTCTCAAAATCTCCAAGAGTCTGTTTCTGTATCTTCTCTTTATCTCTATCATCTCTGTCTATCACACTCTCTCTCTCCCCTTGACTTGTATTTGTATTTATGTTTCCTTACAGGAATTTATATCCAGGCAAGTGTCTTCCAAACCTGACCATTCATTTTGGATAGGGCTTTCTCGCCGTCAGACTGAAGAACCATGGCTCTGGGACGATGGTTCAATGTTGTTGTCTAACTTGTAAGTATCTGGAGAGACAAAGCTTCATACTCTTCCTCAGAGAGGTGAGAGCATGTCAGGCAGTTAAGAATCTGATCTGTTGGCCATAATAAGAAAGAGAGAGAAAAAGATACATAGTGTTGGGGAGAGAGAAAGAGTGAGCCAGGAAAAAAAATGAAAACAAGAGGGTAGAGGAGGACTGAAGAGTCACAAAGAGCTGAATGGCCATCTCGAGCTGTCAACACAAGTGCTCCCTCAGCTTTCTTACTAGGAGAGCATGTGTGTGAAGCTGCCCAGGAAGGTGCAATCACTGTGACTCAGTGTAAAACTGTGCTTAAGAGCAATGCTTTGAAGTCAGTTCTCAGCTCGAGTCAATGATTGGCCCACTCATTGTGTGAAACTGGATGAGTTCCTTAATCTAACTGCACCCCTCTTTCTGCATCTGTAAATGAGAATAAAAATAGTACGTACCTCTTAGGATTTTGAGATAAAAGTAAAATCACTTAGCACAGCATCTTGCACATAGTAAATGTGTGATACATGCTATTATTATTAATTTTAAAAGCAACCACATTTCACTTTTTTTTTTCTTTGCGGTACGCGGGCCTCTCACTGTTGTGGCCTCTCCCGTGGCGGAGCACAGCATCCGGACGCGCAGGCTCAGCGGCCACGGCTCACGGGCCCAGCCTCTCCGCGGCATATGAGATCTTCTCGGACCGGGACACGAACCCGTGTTCTCTGTATCTGCAGGCGGACTCTCAACCACTGCGCCACCAGGGAAGCCCACATTTCACATTTTATAAAGTTCTTTTAGACATATGAACAAATGTTTCCTCATTGTATGTGTACGCACTAATATACACACAATGAAGAGGAATTTACATATGGAGACTTATTACGAGGAATAAGCTCACACATGATTTTAGAAACTGAGAAATCCGACAATCTGCTCTCTGCAAGCTGGATACCCAGGAAATCATGTAGTGTATGAACTTCAGTCCAAGTATGAAGGGCTTAAAACCAGGGGAGCCAATGGCGTAAAATCCAGTGCCAGAGCAGGAGAGGGTGAGATGAGATGAGATGTCGCCACTCACACAGTGAGGCAGGAAGAAAGGAACAAATTTCTGCTTCTGCCTTTTTGTTCTATTTAGGCCCTCAATGGATTGGTGATGCCCACCCACATTGGGGAGTGAAGTCTAGTTTACTGAGTCTAGTTCACTGATTCAAATGACACACTCGAAAATGATGTTTGATCTGGCTGTGGCTAGTAAAGTTGACACATGAAATTAACTCTCACAAAATGTTGAAGTCTTCCTCACTGCAGTTGTCATTCATTTTCTCTTTAATATCTGCAGAATATGAAATTATATTCCCCTTTTCAATTTCTATTATTGGTGTGTGTATGTGTATTTGCATGTGTGTGTGTGTGTGTGTGTGCTTTCTTCTTTCTTTTCTTTTTTTTTTTAATCAATCTCATTGGGTGTAGTTTTCAAAGAAAGAACTTGTGGCTGTGTTGATTCTTTCTCCCTCTGTGTTTTTTTTTTCTCTCCTTTTTTTCCCATTAATTTTGGTTTTCACCTTTATTATTTCCTTCCATTCAATTTCTTTGTGTTGAATTTGCTGCTTTTTCTCTAACTTCTTGTGTGGACTCATGAAGTTCACCCTTTTTTTTCCTCAAGTATGTACATTTAAGACTATAATTTTAGTGTATTTTCATTTTCATTCAGTTCAAAATACTTTCCAATTTTCATTGTGAGTTGTTCTTTGGCCAATGAGTTACTTAGAAATGTATTTCTTAATTTAGAAATATCTGTGTGTTTATAGTTATCCTTCTGTTTTAGGTTTTAGCTTAGTTCCATTGTGGTCAGAGAACATACTCAGTGTGATTGCAGTTCTCTGGTTTTGGGGTTTTGTTGGTTTGTTTCTTTGGCCACACCATGCAGTGCAGCTTGCAGGATCTTAGTCCCCCGACCAGGGATTGAACCCAGGCCCTCAGCAGTGAAAATCCTGAGTCCTAACCACTGGACCGCCAGGGATTTCGCAGTTCTCTGGTTTTTATTTGCTTCGTCTTCCCATACTGAGAGAATTATAATAAAATCTGCCACTGTAATTCTACTCACAACTCTGTAAACATTTTTGTTGATGTGTTGAAGCCAAATTATTAGGCACATGTAGTTTAGAATTGTTATATCTTGCAGGCTCAGGCTCATTCAATGTACTTTTTCTTTTCTTTCTTTCCTCTATTTTGAACTTATTTTTTTATTGTTCCACCTTTTCTTATGTTAATTTAGAATTAACTTTTTAACTAATTTTAGCAGTTACTCTAGAGATTTCAACATACAGTCTTCACTCATCAAAGTCTAATATTAATTGGCCTTTTCATGTTTTTCCTGGGCAATATAAAATATTAGAGTATTTCTTTACTCTGTGTACTACCCCCCCCCCAATTTACATGCTATTATTTTTGTGTATTTTAACTCTGGCCCATATTTTCCCACATTTTAGTATCTCTAAAATTGGCATATGTCTTACAACTGCTGGTCTTTTATAATCATTGTCATCCTGCACTAAAACTGAGCTCTGTCAAAGCTTAGCATTTGTTTCTGCCAGTCAAAGAGGAACACCACAAACCTGAGACTACTTAAATTAAACACTCCACTAGGGGTTTTGTATATGTGTGTGTGTGTGTGTGTGTGTGTGTGTGTACTGTTATCATAGGTTCAGACAGAAAAATTGTATGAGTAGCAGCTTATGGCTCAACATCATAGGGGGTATAATTCTTTCCTCCCACCTTCCACCTGGTGGCAAGATTGAGAAATGCACTTTTCATTGTTACTCTTGTTTGGCAGTTTTATTTTTCATTTACTCCTGCACCAAAATAGTCCTTTGTTTTCCAGCTTCTGCAGGGTTTTCTGTTAAATTCCCATCTTGAATGCATTTATTTCACAGAATTAAATAAATGGTACACCAATGGTTGATGGCATCTTGGATTTAATAAAAGTGTAGCCCTAGAAAACAATATAATTTATGCAGTTTATTAGATTTTCCCACATATATATGGTTTTCATTGCTTCTTTTTTTAAATCTTTTTTTTTTTTTTTTTTGGGCGGTTCGCGGGCCTCTCACTGCCGTGGCCTCTCCCGTTGCGGAGCACAGGCTCTGGACGCGCAGGCTCAGCGGCCATGGCTCACAGGCCCAGCCGCTCCGCGGCATGTGGGATCTTCCCGGACCGGGGCACGAACCCGTGTTCCCTGCATCGGCAGGCGGACTCTCAACCACTGCGCCACCAGGGAAGCCCTTCATTGCTTCTTAATCCTCTCTGCCTCTCCTACCTTCCATTTGGAATCGTTTTCTTAAATATGAAGAATACTCTTTAGTATTTCCTTTAGAGTTGAAATTTTAAGGTCAGATTTTCTGTGCTTGTCTAAAACTGTCTTTATTTCAACTTTTCTAAAAAATATTTTGAGTATAAAATTAGAAATTTATAGTCTTTTTTCTTTCAGGCATTCAGAGATGTTACTACAATGTATTCTATTTTTATTGTTGTTTTTGAAAAGTCAGCTATTTGAAAGTAATATATGTTTTAAATCTGATGTCTTTTTTCAGCTTTGAAAAGATTTCAGCCACATGCTTCAGATGTTGCTTCCTTCCTGGCTTTATTCCCTTCTTCTGGAATTCCAGTTAAATGTATTACAGACCCATTCACAATATCCTATATGTCTCGTTTGCTTTTTCCTATATTTTTATCCTTTTTTTTTCCCGTAACCTATGTATTTAATTCTCACCTATCTTGCAGTGCTTATTTTTCCTCATCTGTAGCTAAACCGCCACTGAAACCCTCAGTTAAGCTTTTAATTTTGTTTGATGAATTTTTCACTTTTACAATTTCTCAAATCTACCCAGTTGCTATTTATAAGTCCTAGCTTTCTTCTAACATTCTCAGTATTGTGTTTTAACTCCTAGAATACACTGTATAGTTGTTTTAACATTTGTGCTTGATAATACCAGTGTCATATACTCATTTGTATCTGTTTCTGTTATCTTTTCCTTCTAATTTTTATTCATATCGATATGTCTGATTTTTTTTTTGATAATGCACTTAACATTATCTCTTAAATGTTTGTAGAATTAATTTGAAGTTTACAGAGAAGCTTTTCATTTGCTTCTGACAAGCACCACCGAGTATGAATAGTACAAACTGAGTATTATCACATTATGATTTTAATACCACTTAACTATTTCACTTCCACTAGCCAAAGCACAGTGAATTTATTAACAAAGAATCGACAAAATATATCTCCTACTTTTCTATAGCCCTTTGTCTTGTGTTTTCTGTTTTAAAAAATGAATAGTGGACTCTCTAAAGTCATAAGAGTAGGTCCAAATTAACATTTTGATATGTAACTACTCATTGGTGACAGTAATTTAATCTGGCTCTGTACATACTCCAAAACCTCTTAGAGGTCAAGAAAATGTTTTGGAGAAGATCACTGGTCAGAATTCTCCCTGAGGCTGGATCAAAGTTGTTTCATGTCCTTAGTCTAGTTATTTCAATAGAAGAATTCTCTCAATCCTCCAACTCCAGGGCCAAGAAGAGATAGATGTACAGGATGAAAAGTACCAGACCATAGCTTTTACACTGAGGCTCAGTGATGCCCTTTGAGCTTGACTGAATAATTAACACGGCTCCTTTAGGAGACTAAAGAGCAAACAGAACAGAGCCATGCTTCTATTAACCCATGGTAATTCTCATAATCGTCTCTCATTATATTGCAATACAGTGCAAACTTCAGGATGCATTAAAAATGTAGGGTTGGGCTTCCCTGGTGGCGCAGTGGTTAAGAGTCCGCCTGCCGATATAGGGGACGTGGGTTCGTGCCCCAGTCCGGGACGATCCCCTATGACGCGGAGCGGCTGGGCCCGTGAGCCATGGCCGCTGAGCCTGCACGTCCGGAGCCTGTGCTCCGCAATGCGAGAGGCCACAGCAGTGAGAGGCCCGCGTACCGCAAAAAACAAACAAACAAACAAACAAACAAAATATATATAGGGTTGTGTGAACTGCCTTTAAATGGCTTTGATATTAATGATTCTTCACTTAGTTCTAAATAACTTTTAGCAAGAACACTTCAACTTGGTCTACTCACTAAACACACCCAATTATATTTTCGCTAAACTGTTGCTTCATTTGATAAATATACTTCTAGGTAAAAGGTTAAAAGAGAAGTAAAGAACTGTCTATAGAACGTTAAATAGTTTTTCCTTTTTGTCAGTTTTATTTAATTTTATGCGACTAGTAATATTTCTTAAAATTTTCTGAGTCATTTTTATGCCTTAGTAATGAAGGTTATTTTGTTACCACTGGAAACAAATAGAATCTAAATTCAAGTTTCCTTTTTCAATGATACGTACACTTCAGAAACTCTTTTCACCAATATCCTTACCAATTTATTTCAGCATTGTGGAGACAGTGGACAACATTCCTTATGTTTGTTCTATACAATTATCTTGTTATATTTTATTTTAACAGGTTTCAAATCAGAAGAACAGTTACCAAACAAGACTCATCTCACAGTTGCGTATGGATTCATGTGTCAGTCATTTACGAGCAACTCTGTAGTACGCCTTCATATGGTATTTGTGAGAAGAAGCTGTCAATATAACGGTGGGGATGTCGCCGTGGAGGAGCAGAGAGAAATATGTAAGATAGTAAGGAGGGTAGAAAACAACATGTTTATGACCAAAAGCATCATAAAAAAATCATCCAATTCCATCTCTTTTTTTCTCAAAGAGCCGAGAGAATATGTCTGCCATATCTCTGACTAAGAGAATCTTGTATAATCGAAATTGTAGGGCATCTGCTGTTATAAGAAAGCTTTCTCCTTTTTAAATACTATCAATCAAAAAAAGATCTGATAATGAATATAAAAAAGTAACCTGTCCTATTGACAGAGGTATTAACATTTTGTAATGTAAAATATGTTTTATTACTTTTTATGATTACTGCTTTGCAGTTTTCAGCAATTCCTCAGGAATTAATTACTGTTAAAAGGTATTATTGGAACATAACTAAGTTCCCTCATATGAGGATTTGTCTCTTTCTTATTTTCTTTTAAACTTTCCCATTGGTGCTATTTATATTTCCAAGGGGGATTTCCATATTACTGGAGAGGCATTTACAGCCTTCTAGTATTCATTAATATGTGAACAGAAATTGCATCACGTTCACTGCATTTTTCACTTTAAAATGGTTAATGTTATGCAAATTTCATTTTAATAAAAAAGGTTAATTAAAGAATCTTTGGCCTTTAAATTATGTGCCATGCGTAATTAACACTATCTCTATTTGCCCTCTCCCCAAAAATGATGATGAATCTGGCCCTGGGGAGGAGGTAGTATAATAGGTAGTTTTGTGTTGAAGAATAAATTTTGGATCTTAAATATTTAAAAATCTAAAAAAAGAAGATAGAAATCTTTGGTGAGGTTGACTATTGTCTTTTAAGACACTAACTTGTGTTGTCACTATCCGAAAAGAAATGTGGAAGGGCAAAGATAATTCAGGTTAAGAGTTAAATTAAGGCATAAAGCGGGATTTCGAAGCGATGCCATGCATTTTAATTTTGTTTTTGGTTTAATCGGGTCTCCTGTATCCTCCGAGTGGAGTGGATGATTTGAAGAAATCTTGATAATCAAGGAAATAATTCTGTATGCTGAATGTCCAGCTGCACTTATCTAGGCCAGACAGGTGAGGCAACAATAACCTATAACTTAAAGATAAAAGCATGACTTTAACAAAAGTGGTGGTGTAAAGTCAGAATGCTCTAGGCTGTCCAAGGCATACCATACCTCACTTGTCAATACACGTGTATACCACAGCCGAAGTGGGAACGTGCATGGGAATGAACAGAAAACATCCACACTTTTCCAAGAGACAGAAAAGGGAAAATAGCTACTAGCTGATGTTATGTCTAAAGGACAAATTCAAGATGAGTAGTGATCATGCTAGAGGAAACACCTATTCAAGGGCCACCATCTCCTCTTGCCTGAGTTATTGCAATAATTTTCAAAGAAGTCTCCCAGTATCTACACTTGTCTTTCTATAGTCCATTTTCAAATGTAGCAGACTGATTCCATTAAATTTAAAACAAACCATGCCAGCTCTCTACTAAAACTCTCCTTGACTTCCCACATATCTGAGTAAAAAAAAAATAAATAAATCGAAACAAAAACCAAAAGACCATTACAACTGTCTACTCACCAAGACAATTGCTGGCCATTTACTCCTTCGAGCTAAGCTGCTTTTCTCCTCATGACTCATTCCATTTAGGATGATGGTTTCTGTATTGTTTCTCAGCCACAGCTGGCGTGCTTGCATCTCAGGGCCTTTGAGCTTCCCCGTCCCTTTACCTGAACTATTCTTACCCTAGATACCTGCAGGACGTACTCTTTTACCTCTTTCAAGTCTTAGCCCAAGTATCACGTGTTAATGAGGCTGACTCTGACTACCTTATTTAAAATTACCAGCCCACCTTTCTGTACATTCTTAACCTCCCTCACCCTCTGTATATTTCCATAACTCTTATCACAGTATCATATATTCTACTATTTACTTGCTTATTATCTTTCTTGTATATCATCTGCCTTCTTCCATACAATGTAGGACTAAAAGTACAGAGAGTTTTGTTTTCCACTGATGAATCTCATAATCTGAGAATAGTACCTGCAATAAAGTAGGTATCCAAAAAATATTTTTGTCATGGTTGAAAAAAATATTTAAGGACAAGTATTAAAAATGTTAATGTGGGTTGGTAAAAATTATCAAGAATCTACTTGAATAAAGTTTGAGAATTAACTCTAAGTGCTATTTCATTAGAATCATAATTATCAGCACCTCCTAAATTATAACACCTCAGCTGTGACAATTTCTAATATCCTATCTTCTTACTTCATGTTCATATGTGCTTCACTTACCTCTCTCCCTTGCAATTTTTTTGTGTGTGTGTGTGATACGCGGGCCTCTCACTGTTGTGTCCTCTCCCCTTGCGGAGCACAGGCTCCGGATGCGCAGGCTCAGCAGCCATGGCTCACGGGCCCAGCCGCTCCGCGGTATGTGGGATCTTCCCGGACCGGGGCACGAACCCACGTCCCCTGCATAGGCAGGCGGACTCTCAACCACTGCGCCACCAGGGAAGCCCCATCCCTTGCAATTTTTTACTGCCTTCTCTCCTGTAACATTTTCTAATACATCAATCCAATGCAAATGACCAAATAACTTTTGATATCCTACTTTTTATAGGGCATTATGCAGGAGGAAGGTCTCTTTAGATTTGTTTAATTTAAAATGATCTGATGAACAATGCACAGTTTGAGACACATAGTGAGTTCACAATATATGCTTCCTGAGCCATCCCTCCTAGGGCCTGTTTGCTCCAGCCCAAGCATCTCCCACATTCCTTTGTGTTTAGTATGTTTGATTTAACCAAGCTATCTCCCAAAATACAGAAAAGCATTGGTAGAATAATGTAATTCTACTGTATTTATTTGGGAAAAATTTTTGGATAATATCTAAAGCAATCTTCTGATTTCCCTCTCAGCTTAGGAAATTTAGGCAAAAAATTGTTACTTGGTTTTCTAAAGTCATAGGTAGTAATAATCCTAAAAGTCCTGACTTCCAGTAAAATATGTGATTGTTCATGATCATTGTGTACCAGATGTGTAGTATACGAAATGTTAAATTGAGTCCACATGCTGTACGAAGAAAGATCATTGAATTGACTACAAGAGAGCATTTTTAAAGTGAATTCTATCCCTAACCAGCTATGTGCCTTTAGAGCAATCACTTCATCTAGCTGGACTTCAGTCTCCCTTTTTGTAAAATCAAAGAGTAGTATCAATTAGATATACCCCAAAGGACTCTCTTAGGCTGACATTCCGTGTATACGATGCTTTACACTATGCCCTTGGGGGAAGGAAAAGCCTTGTCCTATAGTCTTTTCTCTTGTCACAAATGCACAGCGAGGTTAAACTTGCTCTGAGTGACACACTGAGTGTATGATGGGTAAGAGCCGGGTGAGGTCCCTCTGACTGGGATTATTGCTCTGCAGAGTCTGAAGGAATCTTCGGCAATTGTAAACTCTCGCCATCTTTTACACTGCCGTTACACAGGAAGTACTAACAAGTAAGCAAAAGAGAGCTGACAAGGGCAACCCCTTCCGTAATTGTTCAGAGACCGCCCAAATAGAAAACACATGCTACTTTCCCTCCCCCTGACCAATTTGGCAATCAGAGTCCAAGTTCACAGGAGAGGGGCCGGGCCTCTCCAGACAGGAACTGGGGTTGGAGGCTTCCTCTGCTACTTGCTCAGACAGAAGAACCTTAGGAATGCCATTCAGTGCCTCCGTTTCTGAGCTGTCTCACTTGGGGAAATCCAACCATCATAGCTCACGGTCACCACTGCAGGAATCCGGATGCTGGCCAAGTACAGCAGCACGAGGGACATGCTGGAAGCTGATGGGGACACCACGATGAGCCTGCATTCTCGAGCCTCTACTGCAACCCAGCGGCCAGAGCCTGGCCACACAGGTACCCTGTCTCCCGTAGTCCAAATTGGCCAGACCCTTGAGAAATGCACAAGATGAGCCACCTCTCCTAGGAATGCACAAAGTGGAGGAAAGAGAAAATGTTTTCGTGATTTACAATAATGTGTAACGGAGCACTTTCTACAACTTGCCTGCCACATATATAAACGTGTGAAAAATTAAACGTATATGCATAGATATTTTTCTAAGATTCTGTCTCTGGCAGAATGGTTTGCAGTTGAGGGTGTGTTGCTTTTACCAAGCAGTTTCAGCACAGAGACGTGAGACTGTATCTACAATGAGAGCAATGTCCCTTCCCCTTCCTGCGTTCCCATGAAGGCCAGATCCAATGCTGTTTTATTTACCAGCTGTGATCTGATCCGGAAATTTAGATTTATAAAGGGCACCTTTTTGCAAGTTTTGAACTCATGGCTTTAGAGGGGGTTTTCCAAGCAGACACACCAACCCTGATATTTTGTTATAATAGTTCTGCTTCTTGAAGTTGTGAGGTCTTGTGAGAGTCATGCCAACATTAAGTATTTGCTTTATCATCTATGAAGTGACAGGGGATTAAATCAAATGCCTTCCAAGGTCATTCATCTTTGAATTCCTGACTTGTTGATGTAAATAGTGGCCCCAGATGCAATTTCATCCCATCCCATTCCCTTTTGTTCTGTTGACTCCTAGAATATTGTTGAGATGATCGGATTAAATTATGAAAGTATTTAATTTGAGTTACATCTTATGCTTCTATTTCAAATAATTCACCCTTTGACATAGCAATAATATATATTATTACTATGTAATAATATATATTATTGCTATGTCCATAGAAGAGACAATTCACACACATAAAGAAGGATTTTATTTCCTAGGAAACTCAGCCAATCTAAGGCAGAAAGGTGAGTTAAGTTCTAGTAAAAAGACATCAAACTGTAGTAGAGACAGGACTAGGTTCTAATACCAGGGGTGTCACTTACTAACTGTGTGATATTGGACAAGTTACTTAAGTATCCTGTGGCTTCGGCTTCTTCATTTATAAAATGTTAATGATGGTAACCATGTATACAGTGCTTATTATGTGTCTGATATTATTCTAAGCACTTATACATATTAACTCATATTAACTTGAACTAATGTTAAATAGAAGTAACAGAACCTCTCTTATCAGGTGGCTATAAGTACTAAGGTTGATAACTAGGTAAAAAAAGTCCTTGGTACGTTGCAAAAATGTTGAGTTCCTTTTCAATATTTCATTCCTTGAGAATTCTTAAAGTGATCTGTTTAAAATTTTTGTGTGGATCTGCATCAGAGAGAGATTCATGTAGTGCCTGTATTTTCATATGTCCTAACTTTTTGACCATATCCAGATAATTCTTCACCTTTTAAAATCTGGACACTCACTTTTTCACTGTTCTCTTCCTTTTCTCCTTTATCAAAAAACTCTTAGGTTTTCTTCCCTTTTCTTACTAAACTTTTCCATTCACTTTCTATTCGTTGAATGACCCTCGACCTGAGACCCACTAATGTGGCTGATTTTTACATTTTTATTTACTTATTAATTTTTACTAAACTATCTAGTAAGTTGTGAGGCGGTCCTGGGGATTTCCAGCCTCCTTGATGGGAAGCAAAGTGATAACTTTGGGATGTCTGTTTCTGTAGCCACGGGATATGTGTAATAGGACATGGTACGTTTTCCTCCAACAAATCCTGTGAAGAGTCAGCTGTGGTTTCAAGTGGCTTGTGTACAACTTCATTTTCACCTTTGACTAGAGCTGGGAGCTCTCACAAGGCTTAGCGATCCGCATGATCAGGAACAGGGTGCACAAATAAGTTCCGCTGAGGTTGAGGGTGGAGAGGGGGGTGGGGCAGGATAAAGCACCAGCTGAAACATCTGGCAACCTTTTTGTAAGAATGGAAATGCAAACAGCAGGGAAGAGTCAGCTGTGGTTTCAAGTGGCTTGTGTACAACTTCATTTTCACCTTTGACTAGAGCTGGGAGCTCTCACAAGGCTTAGCGATCCGCATGATCAGGAACAGGGTGCACAAATAAGTTCCGCTGAGGTTGAGGGTGGAGAGGGGGGTGGGGCAGGATAAAGCACCAGCTGAAACATCTGGCAACCTTTTTGTAAGAATGGAAATGCAAACGGCAGGAATAGGGGTTCCAAAGAATGATCTTGGAGGCAAACACCTGAAAATAGTTATCTTACCCTATGTGTCTGATATTTTGTTTCCATCTGGTGATAATGCAAGTATTTAGAGGAATGTCACTCTAGAAGTCTAATTATCTGTTAGAAAAACAGATCTGATATCATTTTGTTGTTAAAAATAACAGCAACGACTACTCTGGGAATTTTTTGGCGATGCAGAAGATTCAGATTCAACTTAATATTGGGGCACAGCTATGACTAGAAAATTTTAATGTTTTCTTTAGAATTAATAAAAATAAATGATACACATTCACTTATTTTCTAGTTTTCAATTTTTCGATATACAATCTATGTTTGTGTTAAAAAATGCCAAATAATTCAGAGGATAGAAAGTAAAAACGAAAGACAACACCCTCAGACCTCCTTTCCCTAAATTTCTGCTTGGAGTCATGCTATGCCAGGCACGTTGCAAAGTACTGAGGATACAATGTCAGGTATGACATGATCCCTGCATACAAGGAAACTTAAAGTCTAATACAACTGTCAGCTGAGCCGCAGGTGTGATACAGTGCCATGATGGGGCATGAGCTTGGTATAAGGGAGGGCTTGGTCACTTCCGTCTGGTAGGGGTAGAGATCAGGAAAGGTTTGAGAGAGGGAATGACCATTAAGTGGACTTGACTTTAAGATGTTCCCCATGATATGGGAGAAGAAGTGGGAGGTTTAAGTGGCTGCAGGCACTACAGGCAGGCAGACACATGAGGGGAGAGCCATGGCAATCTTATGTAACTGTTTTTCAGAGAATGTTAACCAATATGTTATGGTGAGGGGCAGAGTTGGAGGGAGAAGGTTGACAAGAGGTAAGTCTGGAAAGTTACGGACATTATGTCATACGGAGGTATTTTGATTCTATTCAGTAGGTGAAATGAGTAAGATTTAAACGGGAGTAGCATGATCAAGTGTGTGTCTTTAGAAGACCGTCTAGGCTGCATGAGGAGTATGAAACCGGATGAGCTAATACCCAGATTTTGCACTAGTCTGAGGATGAGAGGAGAACCTGAACTGAAGTGGTGTGGAAGTGGGGAGGAAGAATCAGATATAAAAGATGCTGAGCAGGGAGAGTTTAAAGAATTGGTGACCGGTTACAAGGGGGAAGGCAAGGAGAGGGAGAGCATAGGTGGGGTAGGTTCCATCTGACGACATGTAGATGGTGCTACCATGAAGTGAGCTAGAAACTACAAGAGGAATAGGAAAGATGATGGATTCAGTTTAAGTTTCAGATGCTTGTAAGAGAAGGCACATGCAATTGGAGTTGCCCTAAGGCACTTGTATATACAGCATGTGGGTCAGAGGTAAGGATTCTGAACTGCCTATGCAGGTGAGAATTGTAGGCATTTAGGTAGGAATTAAACTTTCTGAGTGAGATCACTGAGGAATGTAAAATGAAAATGAAAACGAAACAAAACAAGACAAAACACCGGAGAAGAGTGCCAAAGAGAGAATCTTAGAGAATGCAGTTGAGGGGCCGGCTAAGAAAGAGACTCCAGTGGGCGCTGCTAAGGATGAGCGGTAGAGAGTGATGATGTAGAACAAGGGAGAGGAAGCCAAGAGACGACAACTTCAAGAGAAATGGACAAGTCAATGGCAGTGAACAGTGAATTTTAAAAATAATGAACAGTCGGGCTTCCCTGGTGGCGCAGTGGTTGAGAGTCCGCCTGCCGATGCGGGGGACGCGGGTTCGTGTCCCGGTCCGGGAAGATCCCGCATGCTGCGGAGCGGCTGGGCCCGTGAGCCATGGCCGCTGAGCCTGCGCGTCCGGAGCCTGTGCTCCACAGCAGTGAGAGGCCCGCGTCCCGCAAAAAAAAAAAAAAAAAAAAAGCCTTCTTGGCTGCTTCTGGTTTCCAGACAGCCCACTCTCATCCTTTTTTGGGAGTGTACTTTCCCTTTGCTTAATTTAAACTTAATTGAACTTAATTAAAGTAGCAGTTTACTACTTAAAACTGCTCTATGCCTCTCATCTGAATTCTTTCCCTGGAGAGGACAAGAACCAAGGAAATTGCTGTTCCACAGTGTCTTTCACAGAGCAGAAATTTTAAATTTTAATGAAGTTCAGCTTATCAACTATTTCTTTCTTTTCAATGGATCATACCATTGGTGTTGCATCTAGAAAATCATCACCAGTACTTCCAATGGAATAAAGCAGAATGGAAGCTTGCCACTTGTGACAACATGGATGGCCCTTGAGAGCATTATGGAAGAATTGTAACCTGGGGAATGCCCGTGAGTCTCAACCCACCGAGTTAAACTAGTTCAAGGGCTTCCTGGTACAACAGCTGCTCTAAACCTTGGCTCTGCAAGAGGAGAGCAGTCACCACAGTGTCCGCTGCAGTTCCAAACAAAAGCGGAGCAAAAGTAACATCAGTTACCAACAACAAAAACACGTTAAACTACCGGCACTTTCATTATCCTGGGCAGCTTTATTCTCGGTAAATGTACCTTTGCTGGACTTTTCATTTATTAAAATGGCTTCCAAAATTTCAAAAAAAAAAAAAATAGAGTCCTCTTGAATAATTATTGGGAGATTCAAATGAAATACTACAACATATATAACACACTCAGTAAGTACTATTATCAGTTGCTGTGTGTCCTTGGGTAAGGCAACTAAGCTCTCTAGGTCTCAGTTGCCTACCTATAACATTGGGATTATAATAGCATCTACCTCATAAGGTATTTGTAAAGATCGATGAGATAATTCATATACAGCATTTATCTCAGTAACTCAAGGAATGTTAGCAATTATCATTAATAGTAATGTTATTTTTGAATTATGTTTCAGAAACAAAACCCCTTGACTG